CATTTCTTGGTTTAAACTACAGGTGTGATATGGCATGGGGTACAGCTGTTGCTAGGGTAGCAGGCTGAACTTGGGGGAAGACATCGGCTCCCGCTCGATGCCAGAAGAGGGCACGGCTCTCTATAGTGGTAGAACCAGGAGCCCACGGGGCTAGCTACTCGGAAGAGCCACGGCCTTATAAATGAGTCTGACGAAGGCTTGGTTCACGGCACTTCCGATGTCCCCCCAGGCCACTAATTCCCCATGCCTTTAGCCCATGTGAACCATAAGCTTGGAAGGGGAGGGGGGGTGGGTAGCTTGAAGTTTGCCTAGTGTGCTCCCGTGTGTGCGCAGACTGGTCTTTTCAGTAGAGCTTACCCCTTTTCAGGCTGCAGCACCTGAGCCCCACCCTTCTTTGTGCATGTGTTAACTATGTTTACCTATGCCTATGTAAACTGTATTTAACACCTGCACTCAGTTATTTACATCTTAACTGTGGCTGATATAGTTATACCTCAAATGGTTCCCTGTTCTTAATTTAGTTATTTGGGGAATTAGTGGCCTGGGGGGACATCGGAAGGCCGTGAACCAAGCCTTCGTCAGACTCATTTATAAGGCCCGTGGCCTCTTCCGAGTAGCTAGCCCCGTGGGCTCCTGGTTCTACCACTATAGAGAGCCGTGCCCTCTTCTGGCATCGAGCGGGAGCCGATGTAAAAGAGGGTGGAAACACAGAGCAATATTCACGGATATGATTCATAGCGAATGAATAAAGGATTGTTAGGTTAGTTAGTTCTTAAAAGCCTTACAACACAGATGGTACAAGCAACATTAATGTTGCATACCTTTCGTCGTATAAATGCAGGTAGTAAGGAATGTGGTACAGCAGTTGGATATGAAAAAAAAAACATTATTCACGAATACGATTCATAGCCAATGAATGAAAATGGATATCAAACAGCTTAACACGCAAAAAATGATCAGACAATGATATAGGGATGGTGTCATGTAGCTTTGTGTGTCTTAGCTGTGTAATGGATAGACACACAATAACCTTCGTGTCATTCTCAACTAAAACCTGGGACCTGAAAATGGACTGGCTGTAGAAATTACCTTATTCACTCGTAAAATAGTTCCAGAGGCAGAAGAGTGCAGAGAAATGGCTCCAGACAAACTAGGGAAGGCTCCAGGCTCTCTGTATCTGTAGGGAATTATGACATAATCCAAACCTCCGACAGAACCCATCATTGACTAACACTGGCAGTTTCCCTAGCTCAGTCATGGGAGGACCGTTCTCATTGGACAAGAGTTGACGTGATGGTGAAAGGCAGCCAGCGCTCTCCCTTGCCAGCCACACCCCCTGTGCTTCGTGGCGACAGACACACGCAGTGAGTTCACTTGACGCTGTAAGCCTTTATTCAACATTGTGCTCAATCTTCCTTATTGCACAGCGGACATGCCCCTCAATCTCTCTGTATCTGCTGGCAGCTTCCTCTGAGATATGATTACCACAGCATGGATGTGAGGTGCAGGATAGGAACGCAGAGACCCATTGTCACTGGACAGAGAAGAATCATCTGACTGTGAGAGAGGAGGCACCACATGAAAGGAGTCAGCAGGAAGACCCAGAGTGTGGGGGTGTGGGGTTTGGTGGTTTTGGTGTGGGGGGGGGGGTGTGGGGGGTGTTTTTTGTTTTTGGGGGGTGGTGGGTGGTGGGGTGGGGTGGTTTTTGTTGTTTTGTTTTTGGTGGTGTGTTGGTTGGTGGTTTGGGTTTTTTTTGTGGTGGTGTTTGTTTGGTTGTTGGGGGTGTGGTTGTGTTGTTTTGTTTGGCGTCGTCAATGCAAAGGATACTTCTTTCCTTGTTTTCATCGACTGACTACTTTGACCTTGGCTTGGTGTTGTCTCTTTTATCTGTGGTGTTGGGGGTTTTGTTTTGGTTGTTTGGTGTTGGGGTTGGTTGGGTTTTTTTTGTTTTGTTGGGTTTGGTTTGTTGTGTGGTGGGGGTGGGGTGTTTTGTTTTGGTTGGTTTTTGTTTGTGGGGTTTTGGTTGGTGGTGTTAAAAGAGTGGTGAATTTTTAATATTTACCAAATATGGACCAAAGTTTACTACCTTTGTTGGCAGCATTAGACTTAGCAATTGCGGAGCTGTCACTGGTTGAGGATGGAGCTACCTGCATAGAGAAAAGACTCTGATGTCTGCATCGTAGGACCACACAATGCAATGCAAAGCAAAGTCACAGAACAGTTGTGAATATACTATGACGCAAATCGCTTGGCCTTTCGTGACGTGTGAATAAAAATTGCAGGGACTGAAAAAAACCTTTTCGGTTATCTGCTCGTTGCAAAACTTCGTGTCACAGGCTCAAGCGAAGTAATGTGAGCCAGGCTCAAGACAACCTACTTACTGGTCTCTGAGGAGGGATTTGGTAGACACAAATCTGTGTTGAGGTGTGGATGTCTAGTCTAGTGACACTGAACTCCTTGAAGACAGCCAATGCTCTCTTCTTCCTTAACATCTCCACCACTGAGACAGGTACGAACCAAGTGACGGTGAAAGATCCAGTCCCAATGCTGTTTAACATCATGGCACATGTCTGAAGGTCGTAGCTGCTGGCATATCGTCTCCTGAACTTCTCCACATCTTCCAGTGTTGCAGTTCGGGGCCAGTCAAACTTGACTACCATCTTTCTGAAGCCAGGTGGAGGATCGTCATCGAGCGGCCGAGGGTCAGCCTCACAGAACAGAACCAATGCCGTACGCTTTTTAAACTCTTCCAGATCCTTCTTGTAGGCAGTCATCTCACTAGCAGTCGTGTTGAAATCCTCATGTTTCTTAGTCAGTTCTCCGATCAGGTGGTCGAGCAGATCAGGTGCGAGGTAGTTCCAGTAGAAGTTGAGAGATCCAAACAGATGAAGATGGTCTTCACATTGCCGAAGAGCGTTGTGATTCTCTTTGAGAAATAATCGATGTTGGTGTGTCCGAATGTTGGTGAGAATGTAGACTACTGTTAGGACAGCAATACAGCACTTCTGTAGGCCTTGGATTGCAAGGTCCTTTAGAGCGTTGAACCTCTCGTGAAGGCTTTTGATTTCAGTCTCCACTGCCGTAACTATTAGATGAGTTACACATACAACTACAACCCAAGGTACAGTTTACTCTCACTATTAGCAGGGTTCAGTTGAGAACATGGCTTTGATTTGACCTCATCATCATCACCAGCAGTAGTGTTGGCTGCAGACTCTGTTGTGTCTGAGAGAGTTGAGACATTACCAGCTAACCAGTCAGAGAACTAGTACAAGTGGAGCTGATCGTAACATACCAGTAGTAGTCTCAGGTACCACATCACGTGTTGCGGTAGAGTCAGGGAAATGAGTTGCTTCCACCCTCGCAGCCAGACCTGGTAGGTTCACCGCAGGAGCTTTCAGGGCCTCTACAATGACTCTCCATGTCGGTCTGGGGTTTACTTGCTGCAGGAACTTGATAAAAATTCTAAGAAGGTATTGATCAGCCGTAACGTCCTTGGCGTGGATGGCCTCCACGACGTGTTGCGGCAGTTTCAACTTGAGCCCCAGCTCGTAGGACTTGTTCTGCGCAGGCAGTAGCTCCTCCAGCACGTCCGCGGCATCGTCTGGAGTTAGCGTCTCATCGCCAGCTGGGACTGCGCGAGCAACTGCATTATCACCTTTTCTTATTCACCCTCTAAAAATACCAACCTTCCGCCATCCGTGGAGAGAAAAGCTGATCGGTTCTGGCAGTTTGTGTTTACCTTACATGCCACGCCCCCCTGGTCCCGAGGCTCCGCCCTCCCCCTGTGAACGTTGGGTACGCATGCGCATAAGTACACTACCGCTACACACGTACACAACAACTACAGTAAAATAATTTAACAGACATAATGAAACTGTATATACGAGCATGGTGCATAAGTTACTATGACTACAGATGTCAGGGGTGTGTCAATAATACAATGTCTTGTAGATTGCGACATTGATAGCAAGGTTTCCATTGTCTCCGAAATGAGAAGCCATTGCAGTCTCGAATATTAGGCAATGGTTGCTGCAAATGACACTTGATATACTGCAGTGGATGCTGAGAAAGGAAAGAGAGTGGGTATGTCGTGGAGTTAGCAAATGATGCTTTATACAGTGGAACCTCTGATGAGGCACAGTAGGCAGCGTATAAAAATGAAAATAAGTGCGTTCCGTATCACGCAAGCGACGCTGATACAGACGAGCCTCTTTCAGCTCAGGAGTCTCACGGGCACGACGTTCTCTCTCCTCTCTCTTCGACGACGAAGGGTATCTTCTCTGGACTGATCCCATGATTGCGAGAGTACGGAGCTACATACACATGTATACAGGCAGGCAGCATGTGAAAATTTAGAAATCCTTTCGGATAAAAAGAAGCGCGTAATCCTCGAGCATGCGCAGTTTGACGACGTACGGTCGTAGATAAATAAACCCGCGCCGTTCGTATATACCACTAGCTTAGCTCGCTCCCGCTCGCCAATTATCTACGACCGTACGTCGTCAAACTGCGCATGCTCCAGGATTACGCGCTTATTTTTATCCGAAAGTATTTCAAAATTTTCACATGCTGCCTGTTGTAGCGTCATAGTTTTCTTTTTCAAACAGTTTCAGTTCCGAATCAAAGATCAGACGATGGAGACTGAGAAAAAGGTTGGTCTATTTATTTTTATCGAAAAACTTACATTCTATTTTCTGTTTCTTGCAGGATTTAGTTTGTGTATTGTGGACAACGTATAATTGTTTCGTTGAGGTTTTTGTTTTTTGTTGTGGAATTTCTTGTTTCGCGGGTGTTGTAATAAATAGTAAGGTATTGTGCACTTATAATTGTGTAAAAATATGATGGTGTAGCTATCACACTTTTTTCACTGAGGTTTTATCTACTGATGCTCTACGTAGGGATGGCACGGGTCAAATCTCACGTGATCCACGTACGAAACACCTTAAGCACAGGTCACGTGAATAGAAACCCCTTTGGAAGTGTAGTTATTCGGTGGTAATAGTACACTAATGTATTAATATGGGGTAGAAGTAAGTGTCCTTTATAAAGAGGTGTCACTTATTCGGAGGGTTCTTTATACTGTATTACTGGAGAGAGGCTTTGTGTATCAACGTTTCCTCAGCAGCAGCAGGAGAAGGTTAGGTGGAAGATGGGGAAGAGAGATGGAAGGAGTCCACCAGTGAGGAAGAGAAGAAGACACCAGCAAATGTAAGTGACCACCACTTTACAGTATAACCTCCAATAAAGTACACTGTTAATATACAATAAAGGACACACTTATAGGTCCCAAACGTTTGTTCACTTTTCAAAAGAGAAAAAAACTTCCCTAAGAGGGACAAAATGCCTGGTGCCAACATGTCCTTTATTCGGAGGTTCCACTGTATCATACACCAAAGAATACTGTAAAGATAATTGTTTGAAACTAAGTCTGTTGTAAAAACAGACCCTCACTTGTTGCAAACTTTCAGATTGTAAAAGACTTCTTAGAAACCTAGAATTCCACAAATTGCATGTGTTAGAATCGCAGACTCTGGATAAGAGGACGGAGAGGTTTCCCCCAGTTCTGATGATGATGATGTCGTCAGTACTGCTGGTGATGTCGTGGCCAGTTGCCGACAGTTACCAGATGCATCGACGCTTGACTATGAACGCAGACTCCAGAAGATAGCAACTATTGGTGGTGAGTGAAACCCTACTCGTTAGATGTAGTTGCACAATAGAAAATAAAGAAAAATCTTGGCTGTGGGTCAATAATGTAGCTTTTTTTCGATGTTGAAGTCGTTATTTTGCCAACTGAAAAGCTCCCAAATGTGTCCAGTGTGTACTTTAGAAACGCCTGTTATACATACACAGCCAGAAAACCTCTCTTCAAACCTTCCATTTGTAGACTAACGTATACATACAAACACACAAACACACATGCAGTACCACCTTCACTGCACGTGCATGCCAAGCCTAAACCACTGTTTTATTCAGCTTCTTTCTCTTTTTGCCTCCTTGCTTTCAATTGCATAATTACACAAACAAACCTTTGCTAATTCTCATATATCTCTCCCTCCCTCCCTCATCCAGTGGTGCAGCTATTCAATGCAATCAGCCAACACTCTAAACAGGTCCAGACAAGCAATTCAAAATGTGAGTTACGGCCTCAAATTATAGTATATAGGTATTGTGTGAGGATCTCTGACATGTGAAGTAAGACAGCCCAATGAAAAAAGGGTTAATTTTGCCAAAAATGGTTCATTTCATCCTTGAAATGTTTATGAGAACACTGAGAACACTTTGTCATTGTAACGGAAATTATCCCAGCTTAATACCTCCAACCAACACCTATAGCTTCGACAAGTTTTCACACTTCATGTAGTTAACATTTTGGTACAGCAGTACCCGTCACACATGCATGTGTCATTGTAAGCAATTTACCATTAACTTTGTTCCCGACAGGATCTGTTTTGCAGCACCTGCTGTGAACCGCAAGAGAATTGCTGTCTCGCTTGACATGAACGATCTCATGGCCAAAATGAAATAGACATTACATCATCATTACATCATTCTTGTACAAAAAACAGTGACACACACACAATGTCTCCAACTGTTTTGAGAGTTGAAATGTTGTGTATTATGAGATATAATTGGCACAAAAAGTGCATGAAACTATACAACAACACATTCTTCAACTATATCTCCACCCACTAGGAGGTTTCCAGGATAGGGTGAGAGGTGATGTGATTGGTTGATCACTGGATGGTAGCGCTGCAAGAGAACACGAGTATCCATTAGCATAGACTCCTATCAGCCACTGAAAGAGATGAACTTTGCCATGCGCAAGGCTGGTCATGCCACGCATAAGAGATAGAGAGAAGTCGCGCACTTGTTTTCTCTCCCTTAGATAATGTATGGAGGGTGTGAATTGTGAGCCTGTAAACTAGCTGCCTATATAGCCTGTAATAAAATAATTATTATTACGCCCCATCAATTTGCATGACACATGTACAAACTGTACACATGTATGCAGCCATAGTGTTACATTCTGAGGTCCAGACTTTATGATTATGATGTCATTACATGTCATGTGATCTCCCCTCAGCTAACTATGCAGTGTCATCGTAAGAAGACAGCACCATGTGGAATGAGGAGAGGATCTGCAACAACTGATGGTCGATTTGCATACTTCACCCAACAGGACTCCAACTCAGTCTTCCAATATGAATGTAGTACAGAGAAATGGGAGGAACTTCCTTCATGTCCATATCTGAACTCTAGACTAGTTATTATTGACTGCTGTAGTGGGATATGATGGATTTCGTCATACTAACAAACTTCCTTCATGTCCATATCAGAACTCTGGACTATTCTAATCTTTATTGACAAGGAACTAACTGCTGTGGGGGGAGAGGATGGATCTCGTTATAATATTAACAAACTATACACAATACGACAGAGGGAGAAATACCCTCCAATGAACACTGCACGTTCCTCACCTGCTGTTGTTACTACATCTGATGGCGAATACCTCATTGTGATTGAGGGGTCTGTTGGTCGCTTCAGTTGGAAAGAGCTAAAACTGTGCACACATTTCAGCGTTCAAGTGGTTAAATGCAGATACATATCTTATTTTACATTCTTGTATATACCCACAAATAAACCACCCTGGCATGTTATGGTCGTAAAGGCATCGTTTGTCATGTATGTGAGAGTGTTCTTCGGAGCTTTTAAGCGCGTAGCAACGTCTTAGCGCTTTGCATCGCCGCGTTTGCGGAAATGCATCCGCCAGTTGAAATCTCCGCCAATTTAATTGGACTGCCGCCCAGTCGGTCGCGATAACTGCTCGTTGATTTGTAGCTAAGCTTACCCAACTTCTGCAGTTCAAACGAAGATGGCCGTCAGTTTGTATGACGTGGCGGGTAAGAGAGACGAGACAATGCAGTGGGATGATCTTCTACGACGAGCTGCGAGGGAACACTACGGGATTCGGGGGCGACCCATGCTGAACTCCCCTATCACGCTCAACTCCAAGGCTGCTTTCTTTAAGCGTGTCTTCTCAAGTGCAAGAAGTATAGATGAGAAAGAACCCAAGGAAATCAGTGCAAACCCCGTTGACGTCAACGAGAAAGTCTATACCAACGCTGGTGGTGACGAGGACGAAACGACCGTCATAATCGTAAACAAACAGGAGAACACAGAAGGCCGACGCTACAGTGAAACAACGACGAAGGGAATAAAATGGGGTGTGGACGCAAACGTTGGTCTGCAGTTTGGGCTTCCTCAAGTGGGAGTCGGATTTAAAGGCAAGATTGGAGGAAACTATGAGCGCTCAAGGGTTCTACTCGGTAACTCAGGAGAAAACCCTGCAGCAGAAAAACCAGCAGCAGTCGCATCACGAGGAAACATTGTCGATTCCACCAGGAAAGAAAGCCACTCTCCGAATGACTGCATATAGGGTACGGTATAAGCTTGACTACATCATGGAGTACAAGATTGCTAAGACGGACGGCGTTGTCGTTCGCATGGATTTGTGCGGTGTAGGATTCCATTATAGCTCGGTGTTTGTATCTGCATCTCAACTGTTACAGCCACTTCCAGGCTATGGCGAGGATGAAGAGTTCGTCTACTTTTACCAAGAAGGGGAACTTCGGTGGATTGCCGACCGTATGGTGGTAAACAAGACAATAGTCGACGCCTAAACTAACGAAGTATAGACTTCAACGATAGGCTGTTCCTAGTCTATATAACTTAGAAGCATATTGGGGTGTACTTATGTACTGATTGAAAAGTGTTGAGGCACACGAAATTTGTGGTTTTCGTCTGCATCTGCGCCGTATTCAGACACTAGGTGTGCGTCCAGTGCGTTTTCGCGGGAGAACTACTTTCGTACCTAGCGGGGGACTATACATGGATGATTGACGGTGGCCACTTATCTTACCACAATCATTGCTTGTCAATATGCTGTATTAACAGCCAGAACATAAGGGGTGTAGCTAGCTAGTTTGATAACTACTATAATACGTAGCTTGTTTATTTCAGTGATAGGGGAAGATTGGGGCGTTCCAGTCGTATTTGGAGCTGGTGCTGCATGGTGTTTCTGTCGCTGGCTTTCCTTGTTAAGTTACTGATCAGAGCCATTGACATCAGGCATTAGTGCTTTTCTTCTTCAAGCGTGGCTTCAAACCCAACCGCTTCACCGCATGCGCGGTTCAATGTTTGTGCGTAAGCAACCACGCAACCACTTTAGGTTAGTTTGTGGTTGTCATACTGAGCGTTTGGTGGCAACTATAGTAGGACTAAGTTGACGCAGAAAGTAAGATATTCTGCCGTAAAAGAGAGTAGAGCTATCGGATGTGTAGCTATTGTTCTCCCACCTTCTGTATAAACTGTAGCCCACATTGTCCTAACAAAAGGGGTGTGTACTGATATATAGTGGTATTTGGAGAAACATGGCGATAAAAGCTCCCTTGGGGCATGCCAGTTGCTTTACGTGACCTCTGCGCCCCCCTCCAAAAAGGGGTGCGATTTGATCCTCCAGCAGTTCACGTAACTAGCTACCCGCGGAGAAGATGGCTAGAAGAATGAACACGGCGCAGGTACAGCGCCAAACGAAGAGCGAAACTATAGAGTGGGATAACCTGATGCTGAGGACCGTACGAGAGCAATTCGGGAATCGTGCCCGCATAGTGCCTTCCCTAATAAACCAGCAGGGAAAAAATTCGTTTGTATCAACTTTGTTCAAAGATGCAAGAAACATAAACCCTCGTGACCCTATCGAAATTAGTAAAAACATCGTGGACGTCAACGAAAAAATTTACTGCAATGCTGAAGGTGGCGAAGACAGCTCGACTGTCAAAATCGTTAATAGCGTCGAGAACACCGAAGGACACAACTACCAAGAGAGCGTCACAAAAGGAGTTCAATGGGGTGCCAACACGAACGTTGGTTTGCAGTTCGGACTGCCCCAGGTCGGTGTAAGTGCCAGCGCGGGCTTCGGGTTGAACTTTCAGCGGCAGCGTTCCACGACACTCGTGAACGAGCAGAAAAAAGAAAACAGGGTTGAGTTGCAGTCTCACCACGAAGAGACGGTCAAAATCGCTCCGGGAAAGAAAGTGATCGTGAGGATGACCTCTTACAGGGTGCGCTACAAGCTCGATTACACGATGGAGTACAAGATAGCAAAAATAAACCGGATAAGGGTCCTTGTTGACACTTGCGGCGCGGGGTTGCCTTTTTGCAAGAGTTATGTGTCGGTATCGGCGCAACAACTTCTGCAGTATCTGCCGGGATACTGTGAAGACGAAGAGTTTGTATATTTTACGCAAGAGGGCGAATTGAGATGGATCGCAGACAGGATGGATGTAAAAAAGACCATTACAAACATGTGAAGGGCAGAAAAAACAAACTAAAGTGGCCGTTTCTTAGTGTAATAACTAAAGGACATCCTATTATACATATGCTGCATAATATTTATAAGTGATCAATGGCGCATGCACGGATTGAACGCATCAGCAGCCACAGACTACTTTTCGTTACGCGGACAACTCGCCGGAATTCGATCGAAGGGCTTGTAGTTAGGCCAGTGCGCGAGCAGGAGCGCAACGACTAATTGCATCCAAGAGTTCACAGCTGGCTCAGACTCCCCTCCTATGTTTGCAGAGATGGAAGAAAGAAAGGTTACTCCCATGCCGATCCAAAAAGTGGTGCGGTTAGGAGTGGCGAGAAAAGCGATTGGGTAACTACGCGCGCGAACGCACACAAAAAAGGGGCGGTCGCGCGATGTTTTCTCCCGGGAGCACTAATTGCGTCAATTCTGATGTCGAGTCCAGGAAACTACGCGTTCTAGAGAGCTGTCGGCGTTAGAGCGCAGCTAGTACACTACTACTAAAGGCCTTCTACCATCGAAGACGCGGCGTCAACGCCTGGGCCCAATTCAATTTCGGTGCAGCTGCACACGCACCGCTGAGGACTCCTAGTTAGCGGACCACTGTGCATGTGCGAGATTTACACAAAGCATGGCACTGGCATTAGCCAATCAAATTGCGAGCAAGGACCAATCCGAGCACCAATCAAATTGCGCGATTTCAACCGCAGATATCTGGCTAGCTACACCCCCTCTCGTCATCTTGACGCCGTCACGCAGTAATAACCGTTGCAGAAAGCTCGACAACCTACCCATAAAAATTTATTCCCTTTTCAGCGAGTTCCCCCAACTGAAGCCATTCGTGCTCTCCAACGTCCGACCGACGGGTGTCAGAATTTCCGCTGGAGCATACGGTAGCGTGGGTGAGGTGGCCATTCCTCCCGGAGCCATCTGCGCCGCTAAAAAGATCCACGAGCTGTTCCTGGACCGCTCTGAAATCCCCGCTACCGAGATCCGACGAGCTACGGTACAGTTCGTCGGGGAATGCGAGCTAATGAGCTCTCTTCGCCACCCAAATATCGTCCAGTTTCTGGGAATTGCCTTCTTCCCCAACTCGAGACTCCCAGCTCTCGTTATGGAGCGATTAATGACGAGCCTTCATGACTTGCTAGACCCAGAAAGTCCTCCCTCACCGGACGCGCCAAAGCCCTTCTTCCCCCTGAGCCTGAAATATTCAATCTTGCATAATGTAGCGTGCGGCCTAGCCTACCTCCACGAACAAACGCCGCCCGTCGCACATCGCGGCTTATCGGCCAGAAACGTTCTCGTGAACTCTGGGATGGTAGCGAAGATAGCGGACTTGGGCGTGGCTCGTATCCTGCCTCGTATGAGAGCTGCCACCATGACAAAGGGACCTGGGGCCATAATATACATGCCCCCAGAAGCCATGGAAGACAAGCCCGAAGAGGAGAAAGATAATGATGGGGAAGGAAAAAAGTCTAAAGCAAGATACGATGCTAGTATTGATGTCTTCTCCTTTGGCGTCGTGTCCATTCTCACACTCTCCCAAACCTTTCCAAGTAATTTGCTGCCTACTGCTTACAAAAAAGGTGGCCGCTTACCAGCTAGATCTGAGCTAGAGCGACGAGAGAGGTATATGAGAATGATCTACAATCAGCTACGTGAAAAACATCCTCTTCTCAGGATGATCGAGGGTTGTCTGAATTTTCCTGAAGACCGACCATGTATTAGTGAGGTTCTACACCTGCTAGAAGAGGCAAGAATTGAAGTGAGAGACGGGCATGCAAGCATGAACAAACTTGAGTTGTTGCAAAATCTTCAAAACAAGCCTGGAAGTGAAGTGAGGTAGTGTGTGTGTATTTTTCATTGTTTGAACACTAAACCATTGCATGCAGAGTTTGGAGAGTGGTTTGCAGTCTCGGTTGCAGGAGATACATACAGAGCTGGAGTTGAAGAAAAAGGCAAGGAACTCTGTCATAACAATGGTGTTTTGATATGTTTTTATCATTAGGAGATCGAAAATCTCAAGTTCAGTGTGCAGAAGCTTCACTCTAGCAACCAGGTGCATTGCATTATAGCTATGTATGTTGAAGAACACAAGTTGCCTCTTGTACATGAATATGTATGGTCAAAGTCTTTGCTGTATTGACGAACAAGGAACTTGCAGTGTTTTGATCCACACACACACACACACGTTTTACTGGATTTTATCTTTTATGATTTGAGAGAAGGTTCCCCTTAATAATGTGTAGGGAAACGAGAGGGATCTTCTAAAGGCTCACCAGCAACTGAGGCAAAAGGTATATTATAACATAAAATATTTTTGCCAAGGTCAAAGGACATTGTCTTAGGAAACACAGCTTGTCAAAGCACTGGCAAGAGCACAAACAAAAAGCATAAACCTTATGCTTTGGCATTTTAACAATGAAGTGTCATGCCTTGATGCATGACTGTAGGAGGCACAGCTGACAAGGAAGGGAGCAGAGTTAGCTGAAACTCGGCAAAAGCTTAGACAAAAGGTGAGGGTTAATTAGTTTTGTGTTATGTTGTGACCAGAGTTCTCTTGACTGCATGAGGAACAGCTGCGATGCAGTGAGGCTCTAGTGGCTGACTTTCAAAAGGCCCTTCAGCTGAGAGACTCTGAAGCTCAAAGATCAACGGTCGTTATTCATGGCCAGTAAATATTCTTTGTAAATCCACCTTCTATTCTCAGGCCCAGACCGGTCACCTAGCAACAGCCACAAATCATTACACATCACAGCCAGCTAATCCAAAGAGGGTATGAACTTTAGCTTAGAAGACATGCATGTCTCATTGTCTCGACGTTTAGATGTGATGTGAAGGTTAATTAAAATTTAATGCTGTAGCACAAAAAATGGTACGATTATAATGTAAGTGCATAGTTACACATTTACGAGCAAAGCACTTTCAATGCCAACTAACTTTACAACAAAACAGCCATAATGGGCCTAGACTCTAAATTAGGAGCTGAGGGGTTGTGGCTGATGGGTTGTAACAGAGACAGCTAATTTTTCTCAGCTAGATCTCACCCTTATATAATATACCTAGGCAATCTATAGTTTTTGACGAGCGGGAACGAGCTAACATAGTGATCTGATTACTCTTATACTTCGGACATACAATTAAATTGTGCATGCATTTGGATTACGTGAAGAGAAGGACATTCGGCTGCATTCGCTGCTGACTGAGGCCATACCTATGTAGCCTTTCGAATTTCCATAGTTTGAAGGTGCAAGTTGTAAATAGGGTATATAGGATGGCTCGTGTGCATACACAGTCTTTGTGTTTTCACTCCCGCTCGCCAAAAAGGCCTGCTTTTGCCTACTAGTATAATCGTTTCTTTCCCAGAGCATAATAATGCCACCTGCTAGAGGTGTTGCGTAAGATGGTCCCAAACATACGACAAAACTACATTTTTTGGACAAAGCGCTCACATTCCAACAAGGTAACATGACAAGTCAAAAACATGCTCAGAATGTTACGAAAAAACTGTTTGTCATTTTGCACTCGCCTAGTTTTGCTCAGGAAAATATTGACAACTTTAACACCCTGTTGCTGAAAATTGATACGATGTGCTGCATCATCTAGGCTGGCTTCGTCGATATCTGCATACACCCATTTGATGTCTTTCAGTTTCCTGAGAGCATCTCTGAGTGCACAGATACCGATGAGGCTCTGCTTTATTAGTATAAGTGCAAGAAAATTTCCTTTTTTTCGCAGGTCAGGGCATGCTTGAGAGTGAATGGCTATATAACTGCAGATGGTTAGCTTTTGTTTTTACACGAAACAAGCAGTTGCCATCATCCCCTCCCATGGATTCCATGCAGGTGAGGTCCGCCTGGAACACATTCAATGAAATTCAGGCCTATATTTCCACAGATCTGCCGTTGTAGATCCACAGACACAGGATTGTACCTGCCGCAGACACTTGGCACTGACCTTGATTGCTTCCTCTTTGAATGCAATCCGACGCAGGTTCTCCAGCTGCTTCACACGTGACAGTGCCACGTATGCCATACCTGGACAGAACACCTGCTCCGACAGGTCCATGATGGCACAGTCCAACAACAGACCCTGGCACTTGTGCACAGTGACGGCCAATGCCAGTATCACCGGGAACTGCTTGCGATACCCATAAACGTTGTTCATGAGCATAAAACTTGCTCTTTACCCTCTCGACGTCACATCACTGACACATTCAATGATACGACGTGCTGCATCATCTAGGCTGGCTTTGTCGATATCTGATACACCCAGTTGTGTCTTTCAGTTTCCTGACAGCATCTCTGAGTGCACAGATATCGATGAGGCTCTGCCAAACCACTTTGTTGGTCTTGGACTTTGAGTTGACGATACCTATTTTAATGATGCAGTTAAGTTCAAGAAGTTAAGAAGAAGTGCCTGGGGCTCTTTTACAAATGTAATAATGTCTTGGGCACGATGTAATACACATGCCTACAAAGTTTGCTCTCCAAACTTGCTATATACATTTAGCAGGTTTGAATAGGAAACAGGTAGAGAAAAATGCTTGGGGTTTTTCGTTGTTATAACTATCAGCCCCTATTCACCGATCCTTAAAACTCCCTTGAATCAACCTAGCTAATGGCACTCCCTATTGAGGAACCTACCTCTGCACTTTAAAAGAAAGTTTTCTTAGATATGTAAGTATGGTTGTTTACTTCAAAGCTAACCATCTGCAGTTATATAGCCATTCACTCTCAAGCATGCCCTGACCTGCGAAAAAAAGGAAATTTTCTTGCACTTATACTAATAAAAGCAGTCACAACAGACTGTGAGCCTCAATGACAGTTCCAATCGCATTCTTCACCCGATGGTGCTTGACTATAATTATGTTGCAATGTAGAGATGATGATTTGATATTAAAATATTACATGGATACTCAAGCTTAGCACACAATCAATTTGTCATTGTTCACTTTTGTCCACCTATATATTGCAATGAGCAAAGAATAAAGCATGAGACAGAGCATGCAACTTTCAGAGCATGGATTCTACCACAGATAGAATAGGACGGACCACAACAACTTAAGTAGTGGCTGAGAAAAGAGTTCCTACCAGAAAGCCTTTTACATTTTGAAAATCTGATTCTCCTATTTTTCACCTTCTGTCTATACTGGCTTTTTTGAATTTCCACTAAGCAAAATGTGTACAAGTAAAATTGGTCATGAGCAGATACAGCAATGTCTAAACTACACATAACTAATTTAAGCTCAAAAGCGTTGGTGCAGATGGTAACGTGTAGACAAGTACGCAGTATAAAAATAACTTGTATCTAATGTTCCTGTGCGGGTACACGGGAAATAAAGAATTTCTTTCTGGATTGTATTATTAATCGTGACAGCACTTAGCTAACACTAGCTTTAAGATTTTATATGATCTCTCCCTCAGCTAACACTGCAGTTTCATCGGAAAAGGACTGCACCAACAGGAATGTCAAGGGCATCTTCAACGAATGATAGCCAAATCGCATGTTTTACCCCAGATGGGTCCAACTCCATCTACCAATACGAATTCAGCACAGAGAAATGGGAGGAGCTTCCTCCATGTCCATACCGTAATTCTGGGCTAGTCACTATTGGTGGAGAAATAACCGCTGTGGGGGGAATAGATAAGTTTGGTTACACCAACAAACTATATATTCACACTACGACAGAGGAAATGGGTCAAAGAATACCCTCCAATGAATACTGCACGCTCACCTCCTGCTGTAGTTTGTACAACTGATGGTGAATATGTCATTGTGATTGGGGGAGAAAAGAGTGTTTGGACAATTTCTGTTGAACTACTTCAAGTGAAAAGCAGAAAGTGGTACAAACTAACAGAGCTACCGCAACCACTCGCTATACCTTCAGCCATAATGTGTGGTAATGTAGTGACATGTGATCGGAGCTGAGGCCAGAGGCTACTCGTGCTCTCCTCAAGCTCTACCATCCAGTGACAAACCGATCACACCGCAGTCAATATCACACCTCATATCATGGACACCCCTCCCTCCTCTACAAGTGGCATACTCAACAGCTGCCATTCTCTGTGGACAGCTGATAATTGTTGGCGGCAAGCAAGGGTGGTCACGAACAAACTCTATTCACCAGCTGGTTGACAGACAGTGGGTGAATATTGGGTCAATGGCTTTCAGTAGGAGTGAATGTCTGGTAACAAATCCATCACCAGACAAGATTGTGATAGTAGGTGGATATGGAGCGCAAGGCCAGACGCAGGACACAGTTGAAGAATGTGTGGTTTAATACTCAAAAACAATTATTGTACCTTATCGTTTGTACTAGCTATAATTATATATGCATGCACAATTATGACAAGTAACATGGGTTTAAAATGAAACTACCATGAATAACCTTCGTCCGTCATTCTTGGCGAGTGAAGTGAGCCTATATACCTAGTTGTAGGAATTTTATATTAGATGTTTATAACTATCGGGCACACACTGTCCCTACAGCAATGTTCTACATGATGTGCAAAACAGACGCGAAATATTGAACTGCTTGCGCTCACTATCCACCAATGCAGCTGGACATACCTTAAGCAGCAGCGATCGTGATATGACTGTAAGACAATGAGACAATGATCATCTTTTCAAACAAGGATGCAATGTAGAGTTAGAGTTCAGTGTCTTTGTTGTCGGTGCCATTCTTTTGTGTGTCTCCATCGTCCCATATAGTCTTGTGGCCCCTGGTCTCCCCACTCATCTCCAGAGAGATGTCTGAGCCAGTGGACAGACGGTGGGAGTGCTGTGTACGGGGGACCAGGTGCTGGGCCGAGGCTGATGACGACGGACGACCAGACTGTGTGACGCACAGTCACAGTTCGGCAGAAACACACAGGGGGAGGGGGGAAGGAGGGAAATAGGGAAGGGAAGGGGAGAGAGAGGGAGAGGGAGAGAGAGATATGAGAGAGAGATGAGTCTTACTTTTGAATTGCTGTCACCAAAATTGATTAGTATCATGGAACACACTATATATGAAGTTGTATATACGCTTGGCTTGGAAGAAGAAGCAGTACAGTGATTATGTTGGTCAATAGAAAAGAAAATGACAGTAATGCAGTCCATATTCCTCCATGACATAAACTTCTGTGCCGACTGTTCCACTTTCAATGAGAGAAGTATACAAAAACTAGTTCTCACATTCTGAGAAACAATGGTCTCCAGTTCCCTGATCCTTCTCCTGAGAGACTCGATGGTGGACTGGTCTGAAGAGGCCTTGGCCGTGGCCGCTGCCATGGTGACTCCTGTTTTGAACACCGTCAGCCCCTCCGGATCCTGGTATAGACTCACCATCTGCAGGTGGGGGCGGGGGGAATGAACATGGATAACTACTGTGCATTGTAGCTCTTGTGAGTTGTTGGGTTCAAAGGGATTGGACAGGGTCACAAATACTAAATATCAAACCTATAGTATACTCCAGCTAAGTTGGCCATGGTATTTACTTCCACACACTATGTGCTATGAATACAATTCGACTACTATCGCTTTTTCTCGCGCTTCCTAGTCCGATGTCTATAGTAGGTGCATGTAGATTGATCAGAACAACTTTTCCCTCATTTATCTCACTGGACAAACCATCTACACACAAATTAATACACAATTTACATATAGTGCGCTAACATCCGGTTGTAAACTCCGGCATCCTCAATGTTAAGAGAGTATAGCATGGACATTAAATGAAAAGATGTGAGAGCTTTTGGTTCAGTCTAAAACCATCTTCAGTGACTGACATTTCGCCATGCGTGTCGTCCATGCACTGTTGCCTGCTTTAGTGGAAAACAGGAGCATATTCACAAGCATGGTGCATCAGGTTTTGTAGTGCTGAAGTTAAGAGTCCTAAAGTTGTGTTCTTCAAATCACGACATGTTTATTTAGTAGAGTGCTATTTGCAATGTGTAAAAATTGTGTAGCTGAGTTGCAAGCACCAAGTGTTACGAGCTTCAGTAAGAATGGCTCAACAAAAGCAACTGCACTATGTGACACACGGCAGAACATTTTGTAGTCTCTCATGTAATACATTTCCCGACATGCACAATAATAACAGTTCAGCACCATGCAGCCTTTAATCTAGGTGGCTCATTCTAAACCTAGTGCGACATAGTTCTTTAAATGTATACGTAAAAAAGGTGCCTGAGAGCGAGAGTAACACTGACCTTGGGGATATACAGGAGGACAAGGATGGCAGAGGTTCCAACGAACAAAGCCACAGAGAAGATGGCGGCATAGACGTTGATGTACTCCACCACGCTGTACGTGGAGACAAACAGAACTGTGAATGTGATGGAGGTCACGTAGACTGCTCCCGCCACGGCCTTGGTGTCGTTGAGACCTTTGACCTTCACTCGTCGTGTGGCAAATGCCAGGAACAGAGAGAGAATCTGCAGGGTTGGGAATTACTAGTAGCAAGGAGTGCTGTGAGTAGCCTAACACCACACAATCTAAGATTGTGAGATACATATGTAAAGAAATGAACAATGACTAGTAACGAGAGGTGCTGTGAGTAGCACTATTCCCAGACAATTTTAACAACCGAGACATCTTTACAGCGTGAGATGAAAAGCACTAAAGTGCAAACCCTCGGCGAAGTAGCTCGCAGAGAGTCTGACACGGGCTAGCTACAGTAGTATATACATAGCACGCGAGAGTCGATACACGCCATTCGTTGTGACTTCTTGTGCCTTCAAGATAGACAGAGCAAGCGGACCCGGTAGAGGTAGGCCTGTGCTAAATATAAGCGCATGTGCATTATCCGCCAGCGATAAAATGGCGACTACTGGTATTAGCCTACAATGCTGGAAGCGCTCTAGCTTTGCAACAGAGCATTTTCAGAGAAAACCCCACAAATTTTCTGACCTTCATTGCCCGTTGAGTAGGTCGTATCCTTTGTGAGACGAACAAACACCCGAGAAGTGAGATTGAGAGTAACAGACAGACAGACAGACACACAGACAGACAGACACACACACCCAACTACAGTAACCCTCGCTGCGCATGCGCGCCGAGGGTTAATAAAGGGATTACCAATGACTAGTAACAAGGGGTGAGGTGGCCCTGTTTCCAGGCCTTCTCTTACAGATGGAAGGCATACAGTGTATTGGAGATGACAAACACTGTAGTATGAATAACTAATTCTAGGGTGAATATACTTCTTAACACTTCTTAATAATATAGCAGATTATCTGTAAATTTAGTGAATATGGGGGGCTATGTGTGTGTATAATACTGTGGGGATGTATTATTATGTTCCCACTGTGGTATAGTCAGTTCCAAGCAAAAACATACTCTCAGTAAATTTGCAACAACGTGTGATTGTCGTGGCCCACAATAGCAACACAGTGCTAAGAACTGGTGAGCAAAGCGAGCCTGTTTAGTCGTCTGAATGCATAAATATATATCTGCCAAGGTGCATGCACAAACCATAATCTTTACGTGATTTTAAATACGCGCGAAACATAAATGCTCGCTTTGCTAGCCCAAAATATGTTGTATACCTGTAACAAGGACTTGTAGCCGTAGAGAATTCCGAGGAAGATTTTACGGCCGTTGGAGTTGCAGATGTAGGTGTAAAACTCAGTGGTAATCCGCCGTACCTGCAGATATTCATTAATAGTCTAGTATTCAGAGACCTGCATGATTGATAGTCTTATGAGCTAGTGGCATTCACACTGCATATGCCAACTATGAGGTTTAAAGGCAAAGACATTGAAAACAAGTCAACTACAGGCTAAGAGCTGCCCTGGGTGGGATTTGAACCCACGGCATTCTGCAGTCTAGGCGAGTGCACTATCAACTGAGCTACCAGGGCAAACTCTGCCGGTAGAGGTTCGAATACACAATACAACACAAAGGGCAAATGTCACTCACCCTGTACATGCATGCCACAATTATTATTATCTGGTTTGTGATACGTGACACATTGTTACACAATCATTTGCAATATTAATTGTCGTAATGACGAAGTAAACAATTTTACTCACCCCTTCAACATCATCCTCGTTCTCAGCATTCCTCACTCTCCGAGCCTCCAGGTTACCTCTGCAACCTTCCACACCTGTGTACACACACACACACACAAAGTTGATAACTGATAATCCACCCCATTTCCAATTAGGTAATGCTTGGTCCATACAACAGTCTCCAAACAAAACATTTTACAAGTGAGGGTGTTTATTACAAAATATGGCCTTCACTTTCAAAAGTGACGGAAATAATATTCTGGATTTTCACTAATTTAGTAGCCCTTGAAACATTATTTCTCAAATCTTCCTGCAGTATTATGTAGAAAAATCAGAGGGTGGTGTAGAAAAGGTTTCCTACAAATTTCCAATTCTTCTTACACGTGCAGGAAATTCCAACATGTGTAGGACATTTCCTGCAAATTGCACAAAGTCACCAACACAATATTTCCTCCTGCACTTGGCCTGTACATTATGATAGGACTTCATACGTTGCTTGGAGTATGTTTACACTACACTTTTTAATGTACAGCACCAGGAACTGAGTGGCTGACCAAACAAGCCAATCTTGGCTACAATTATTGCTTGCTCACTCAGTGGGTATAGTTTGAGAGCAATTTTACAAACTTGAACTGACAACTTGTGTTCGTATGTCCGCCATGTGGTTTCGGGTAGTGCTCATCTACACTGTTTATTAACCCTCGGCGCGCATGTGCGCAACGGGTTGATGTAGTTGGGCTTTGAGTTGTCTGTGTTCCACGAAGTTTCCCCTGTTTGTCCTTCAACGCCTCTTTTGTGCATGGAGTCATGTCGCACTTTACCTGACCGTGTCCTTCGGTTCCCTCCTCCGTTATGGCGTCATCTCCGTTCTCGTTTAGCTCTTTTCTCTGTGCCAGTGTTCGATTTCGCTGAGCGCTACAGCTACCACCTACTGAAGGGCAATGAAGTCAGAATAACAATCAAAGACTATTCATGTATGTGCGGTTTTCTCTGAATGCTCCGTGCAAAGCTACGTGCGCGAGAAAAAGCCGATAGCAATTACACAACGACGGGAGGCTTACCGCGGTCTCTGATCGATCCGCGTGTTCTGCGTACCTCGGAGGAGGCAGCAGAAGATGCCACGCAGCGGCGTATATCACCTCTCGCATGCTATCTAGGAATGGAATAGCCGCGTCCGACTCTGCACGAGCTGGGCAATGAGACCACGAGTAACAGCTAAAACTAAACCCCGCCCATCGATTAGTGATACAGCGCATGCGTTTACTCACGCGTGCGCGTCATAATGCGCCGAGGGTTTGCACTTCAGTGCTTTTCATATTGTGCATTGACCAATGAGGAAATATAAACATGTTTTTGACTTAGCTTTAGCCTTCATCCATTTGTTTTCTAGCTACACATCTTGTATTGTGCAGAGCTAGGCTCTTCTATCGTGGATAGGACAGGCTAGCATGGTTTTAGCCAGGGAGCAATTAAAGGAGGAGGGATTGACTGACCACTTGGCACACATTCACTTCCAAAAGACTATACTATGCATCCATTACACATATTTGCCTAAGTATAGTTCTGTAAAGCAGGGAGAAAGGAGGGGGAAAGAAAAAAATGAAGGGGGGATTAAAAAAAGAGGGTAAACCCCCAGCTCCCCTGCTTAGCTAAAACTCTGGCTAGAATAGCAGACCTATACACCTTAAGGCAAATGCAAGCACAGCAAATCAACAGAAGCCAAGGTGCTCAAAGTCAACTGCGAGCTAAACAGGACAGTTAGGAACCAGCTCACATAATGATGTGGGTCCCAACCAATTCTGCGTCTCAGAAATAGTTACTATGTGTGAATAAACGTGATTATTCCGTATGTTATCCGAATATGTACGCATTACATGAGTCGGTGTAACACTTAGGAATGTCACAAGAAGATTGAGGTCTATTGGATTCACAAAGGTTGGCCCAACTCAACTTATGGATGAGGAAGAATAGAATTAGAAAAGCTAGGGACAATCTCTGTGCACTACGTATAGTACCCCACAACGTCCCCCCACGTATGTGCAGACTGAGCTGCTCCAGAGGTCACGCCCACCATTCAAACGTTGTACAAGAACCATACATACACTCCGTATGAGGTCTTCTCTGCATACATATATCCCACATAGGTACATATTGGATAGCTTGCTTGGCTGGACTGTTGTTAACCCTCGGCGCAGGCATGCGCAGCGAGGGTTACAGTAGTCGTTCTGTCAGTCTGTTCGTCTGTCCGTCTGTTACAACGATTTCTGCCAGCACGCGCAACAAACAGGTAAAATAGCGACACCAGCGGGTATAGAGCTACACTGGCTTAATTTTAAAATAGGCGATATTTGTAAAAGTGGCGCGTTCAGAAGTTATGGCGTGAAAACCAAGTCAACAAGCCAATTGCTAATTAGCACTGGCTTACCTCGACCAGATCCACTTGCTCTGTGTACCTCGGAGGCACAAGGAGTCACAACTAAGGGCACGTATCAACTCTCGCATGCTATCTACTACTATAGCTAGCCCGTGTCAGACTCTCCGTGAGCTACTCTAGTGGGAGACCACGAGTAAACGCATACACTAATAGCCCAGCCCATCAATTAGCGGTACCGCGCATCACCGAGGGTTTGTACTTTAGCGCTTTTTAATTTATGAATGCAAAAGTACAACACCCTTACAATTTTCTAAAGGGTAATGTTTCTAGCATGAAATGCTCAACAGAAGTTTTAAAACGATTAACTGTATGGTTTATTCATGCTTCAAAACACAGCATGATATTGACAGTACTCATGAGATAGCATGTCCAAGTCAGTCAATAATCTAAGGTGTGTACTATGTGTGAATGCAGTACACATTGGGCATACCAAAGTAGATGCAGAGAATGATGAGGTCCACAGCCACCATACCAAACACTATCAGAATGAGCACCTCGTCCTTGATGAGCTTGGTGTTCTGTATATAGACACACCACAGATTACACAAACCTTACTCTCCCACAGGTTTGTAACTATGTGATGATACAGCATTTTATGCTGAGATGCTAAACACATTATTGTACTGAACTAATGCATTTATGTGGCCACTTAACACTATGTGTTAAGAGCTTTCATAAGTCAATAGGAATTTATAAGGGGGTCATAATACTAGGCGCTAATACTATATAAGCAGATATATACCAATGGTTTCCAAAGGGTTTGACTTGTGTGTAAAAATGACTGTGAAGTTTCCTTTTGCTACATGCATACATTATGTGCCTCTACAGCCTCACCGACAAAGAAAAGGCAATAGAAAAAACAGAGAAATTATCCCAGGCGATTTTGTGCATGATATCATGACTATAATGCCCCAACTTGTGTAAGCCCGTTTCTGCAGCCAACAAACAATTATTCCACGCTTGCATTTGCATTTGGAGTGGGAACACCTACATACGTACCTTCTTGCAGGGAGAAGGATTGGAGTGGGAACACCTACATACCTTCTTGCGGGGAGAAGGATTGGAGTGGGGACACCTACATACCTTCTTGCGGGGAGAAGGATTGGAGTGGGGACACCTACATACCTCTGCGGGGAGAAGGATTGGAGGGGGGACACCTACATACCTTCTTGCGGGGAGAAGGATTGGAGTGGGAACACCTACATACCTTCTTGCGGGGAGAAGGATTGGAGTGGGGACACCTACATACCTTCTTGCGGGGAGAAGGATTGGAGTGGGGACACCTACATACCTTCTTGCGGGGAGAAGGATTGGAGTGGGAACACCTACATACCTTCTTGCGGGGAGAAGGATTGGAGTGGGAACACCTAGCGTAAAGCGCCAATTATCGCGCGGTACCAATTATAGTGACAGAACCCTGCCGCGCGTAAAAGCGGTAGGCATGCGCAGTGTGCCACATTTACTGAGATGTACGGAGCATACGCACTGACCACGCCATCTTCCTCGCCGACGAACCGTGAGCTAGGGCTATAATTCTTACTGGTGAGCTGGAAAACGTACACCAAAACTTTAAAATTACACTCCTCTCTATTGCAGATGATCAGTTGGAAGGAATGCCTAAAAGGAAGCGAAGTTTTTGTCGCAGGAGAAGGAGCGAGTCTGCTCCCGCTGTCCTCCTTACGTCAAGAAGGCAAAGTAAGCGTAAACAATGGGCAGATGAAGAGATGGCTGCGGCAATGAGTGCAGTTAGGAATGGCATGGCGATTAAGCGGGCAGCAGAGGAGCACGGGGTGCCGCCTAGCACGCTACGGGATCGGATTAGTGGAAGAGTTGTGCATGGTACTAAACCAGGGCCAAGACCTTACCTCAGTCTTGATGAAGAGAAAGAACTTGGCAGTTTTCTTAAATCTTGTGCCAATTTAGGGTACGGGAAGACCAGGAGAGACGTAATGCACATTGTTCAGTCGGCAGTTGCTGATAAAGGCTTGTTGAAGGGGACTAGGCTTTCAACGGGATGGTGGAAAAGATTTCTACAGCGCCAGCCTGACCTTTCTTTGCGACGCGGTGACTCCACCGCCCATGTCCGTATGGATGCCGTCAATGCCGACACAATGAAGCAGTACTTTGCTTTGCTTAACGATGTCATGACCGAGTTTGACCTTCACTCAAAACCCTCTCAGATTTACAATGTTGATGAGAGTGGCATTCCGTTCGACCCTCGTGCTCCCAACATTGTGACCACTAGGGGAACTAAAAAGGTCCGTTATCGACAATCTGGTAGGAAGGGGCAAGTAACTATTGTGGGATGTGCTAGTGCATCTGGGCATGCGCTCCCACCCATGGTCATCTTTGATGCAAAACGACTAAATGCTGCATGGACCATGGGTGAATTCCCAGGGACGAAGTATGGCCTCAGCGACAACGGGTGGATTAACTCTGATTTGTTTGAGGCATGGTTGTGTGAGCACTTTGTTCCCCATGCGGTTTCAGCCAGGCCTTTGCTGCTGATACTGGACGGGCACAGCACTCATTATCAGCCCAAGCTGTTGCGGCTAGCCAAGGAACACGATATCATCATGCTATGTCTCCCCCCACACACAACACATGAGGCACAACCCCTAGATTGTGGTGTTTTTGGGCCACTAAAGTCTCACTGGTCAAATGTTTGTCACTCATACTTGCAGCAAAACCCCGGGAGAGTCATTACCCGTTTTCAGTTCAGTGCTCTCTTCTCTCAGGCATGGAGTGCCGCAGACTCTCCCAGTGCCACAACCACTCTCCCTCCCAGTGCCGCAGACCCTCCCACCACTCGCTCTCCCAGTGCTGCAGACCAGAGTCCCACCACTCACTCTCCCAGAGTGTGGAAAACCAAGGCGTTCATCTTCATCTGGGCTGTCAAGTGAGCGCTCTATTTCCAAGTACCTGACACTTCCCCCTAAGCCCTACACATCCAAAGAGGGTTCCTCAGCCCGTTTACTGCTAGTGCGACGCTTTGGCACAAGTGGAAGAAAAAGAGCGAAAAAAGAAGCAGCCTGAGAAAAGGAAAGGAGAAAACCGAAAGGGAAGAGAAAAAGCGGCAAAGGGAGGAGGAACAGAAACGGAAAGCCGAGGAACGACAAAGAAAGGCAGAAACAAAAGCAAACAAAGTGAAGGAGGCAGCAGAAAAGAGGAAAGAGAAAGCGAAAGGAGCAGGGAAGAGAAAGGTTTCGAATGAAGCCACTGACATACCTATGCCTCCAAAGAAAAGAGTGTGTAAGCTCTCCCAAATGGAAAGTGATGACCCTGAAATCAACACTGATATGTGCTGTGTTTGTAGCATTTTATACTCAGAAGATCGCACAGGAAAAGAATGGATTGAATGTGCATGTGGCCGCTGGCTACATGAAGAGTGTGGCGAAGATTGTATTTTAGACTCAAATGGCAGGGAGAGGTTCTGTCCTATCTGTTTGTAATGCCATGTTTTCCGGTTGATGCTGTAATAGTGATGTTTGTGCACATTTTTGGTCATTAAAGGAGAAGATTTTCCGACTTAAAAACATACCGTTGTGTAGAATTGGACGTGTAGTATGTCATGACGGGCGTGAAATAGAAACCATTAGCTCACGGGAACCGGGAGAGGGCAAAGTTCGGAGACGGGCGATAATTGAATGCGCAATATTGTATGCGAAGCGATAATTGGTGCCGGGTAGCGATAACTGGTTTTTTACCTTGCGCGCTGGACGCACTACCGCTACAGTTACGTACGGAGTTTCCACTCGGAAACTGGATACGAAGGTACTACAGTACGTAAACTCGCAGGGCACGACGTTAGGAATAAGTACGTAACTTTTCCGCAGCGTAGTGGACGCCGTTCCTTAAGGGTGCGATAATTGGCGATCTACGCTATATCTATGGCTAGTGGTTGGCTAAATATAGGTTACACCTCTACCAGTGCCTCAAAAAAGCTTATCATTTCCTTTCCTGTATGATGAAGAGCATTCCTACGAGATAGACGATGACGGTGACAAGGTACAACAGCTGGAGATTAACAAAGAGTACAACCTTGATGGTGTTCGTGTTTCTAGCCACTAGGGAGCAAAACATCTGGAAGTAGCAGAACTGCAGCATTAGTGAACAAAACAACAAAAGTGAACAAAACAACAAATTCTGGTGGGAGAACATACTATTGCCCATTCAGTGGAGGAGGAGGAGACATCTACATTCCAACTGATCAGGATAAGAGCGTAGGTCTGTATGCTTCAAGACAACTACACAAGAACAGCTAATTGACATCACCAAAGAAAGAAGGAGAACTTCGCAGTGGTGCTTGGGAGAACAAAGCTCTTGGGGAAACACAAAATATGTTCCTACAGCCACAAGCCAACATGTTTGTATGTGCAATGCGGCAACTGGTTAACTGCGCATCTCAAGGTCTGGAAGAAGCTAAGAAAGTAAGTTTTTAAAGTGCCATGGACTTTTTGTACTCTTGTCAGGTAGTCCAATACACCACCTGGTTATGACAATTGATTATGAGCAAAGCAATTCGATGTACAAAACCGTATTGGACCTTAGACTTCCTCAATATCCTTTCTTGTCCCCTGATTGTGCAATAGAATACAACACTGATGCATTGATGGGCCGGACACATGTGTTCTAACAAACACATAATATATATTTTTCAGTCCAATACATCGCTGTTAACCGCGACAAATACCAGGAACGATCACTAATTTGGCAAATTTATTGTCACAAGATGTTCATCTGTCAGTTGCTAGCTTTATGGGCTGCATATTGACCGCCAATCCTGGGTACAAGGGTGCAATCTAACATTTCCCCCAACTGGCCAATAGCTCTCAATTCTACTAGCCCAACAGCTTTCACACTAGCCAAAACATTTATTGAAGGCACAGAATCAATTACACATCATCACAAACAGTGTCTCCATCTGACTGTCTAGGTTTTTTAGTTGGAGGTTCCTGTAATCCTTCCAAATACCTCCACATGGTTGTCAAAACAGTACAAAGCACACTGCTCACGTCTACATACCGAACTAAACCACGATATTACAACTTAACTTCGCTATTACAACTCCACTAGTGTGTCTCTCGCCAGCCGGGCGACCGCTTTAGGCGTTAGCACCCGTCCGCGCCGTAATTTACCCACCGTGGGCGGGCAGGTGAGTGCTAGTTTGAAGCCATGTGGGTACATGTAACGTGTGTATCTACATTGACAACACCTACGTAATAAAAAGGTATTCATAAAAGGAGTACATGGACCACTGGTGGTTCTCAACAGTTATGAGACAATGAAAAGCACTGAAGTGTAAACCCTCGGCGCACTGTCACGCGCACGCGTAAGTAAACGCATGCGCCGTACCACTAATTGATGGACTGGGTTTAGTTTTAGCTGTTACTCGTGGTCTCTTGCCAGCTCGCGCAGTCTGACGCAGGCTAACTACACTACTAGATAGCATGCGAGAGGCGATACACGCCCTGCGTTGCATCTTCTGGTGCCTCCGAGGTATGCAGAGCACGCGGATCGATCATGCCGTAGTAAGCCGTGTGTATTTGCATATTGGCTTTTTCGTGCTCTAGCCTTGCAACGGAGCGTTTTCAGAGAAAACAGTTCGAAATTTCTGACCTTCATTGCCCGTTAAGTAGGTCGTATCCTTTGTGAGACGAACAAACACCCGTGAAGTGAGATGTAGAGTAACAGACAGACACACGGACAGACAGAGAGACAGACCCAATGAAAAGCACTAAAGTGCAAACCCTCGGCGAAGTAGCTCGCAGAGAGTCTGACACGGGCCAGCTACAGTAGTAGATAGCACGCGAGAGTCGATACACGCCATTCGTTGTGACTTCTTGTGCCTTCAAGATAGAAGGAGCAAGCGGACCCGGTCCTTTGCTAAATATAAGCGCATGCGCATTATCCGCCAGCGATAAAATGGCGACTACCGGCATTAGCCATACAATGTGGAAGCGCTCTAGCTTTGCAACGGAGCATTTTCAGAGAAAACCGTTCGAAAATTCTGACCTTCATTGCCCGTTAAGTAGGTCGTATCGTTTGTGAGACGAACAGACATTCGAGAAGTGAGATTGAGAGTAACAGACAGACACACACACAGACAAACCCAGACTACAGTACCCTCGCTGCAGTCTTGTTATCTAAGTAGATGTGTGGTAGCATAAGCTGCTTTACTTTGATAAAGCCACCAGACAATAAACACCAACCTCTCAGACTCAGTGATTGAGTATAACATATTCTGAGACCAAAGCAGATATAACAACAGAATAGGTGATGTGTGCCTATAGCCACGCATGATACTATCTTTGAAATGTAAGCACTGTATCTTTCTGCCCAGAAACTACAAAGCCTAGACCGACTGTCGTCTTAGTAGATAAAGTACGCACAGACCTCACAGATCAGTCAGACATCAAAATAGAATTCTGACTGACCACTTACATATAGCCTGTACGTGCAACCCTTGCTACACACAGACTTCTGAGTAAGTTCATGCACAATTGTGGGAAGTCGTTCTGTTCCCACATAGCAAAAGACCCGAAATGAGACAACTAGGCACATTACAACCATGAAAACCTCACGCATTATGCGTTCTCGTGATAATAACGTGATTCCTATGTACAAACGTTTGTTTGGTCAGGCGATTCACAGAATAAAAATGAAGTCATCTGAGAAAACCACCACCCTCTCAATGAGACCCTAGCAGATACAACAGAATAGGGTAAAATCAGTGACGATCTAGTCGAGAGAATGTTAGAAGATAGGGTGAGTAAATTAATCTGGTTAAGTCTTTGTTCCCACTGGCAGTCCAACCACAACCACCACCTCCACCATCTAACATCAACAACCACCAACAATCCAGCGTCCACAACAAACCACTGTCTTAACGTCCACGACCCATGTAAGCAGCCAACACCCTCGTTACCACAATGGCCCTCCTCCGGCACAACAGCAACAGAATCGCGCCCGCTGGCCAAAAAGGCACAGAAGGAGGCAACTAATGAGCAATGTATGGTAGAAAACTAATCTCATTTTATTCACCAATAATAATTCACCCACTGTTGTAAATTTATCCAAAACTAACAGTTAGTTAAACACCAAGCCATGCCCCACTGGATTGCGCGTGCACTAGTGCATGTCTCAACAACTTGGTAATGAGGTAGAAAGGCAAGGCAAGGCAAGGCAAGGCAAGGCAAGGCAAACAAGTCAACTACAATGTACACCTGCCTGGAGAAGGGTCGACTTCTGCTTGGATGCTTGCTCTCCTCCTGCCGATGCTACACTGTTGTAGCTTGATGTTGCCGACCCTGCTGCTGAGCTGTGCTGCCACGTGGCACCTCCGCTCACGCACTAATGGGCATGCGCTAGTGGCACCCCCCAGCGCACTCTTCCCCACTCATCTAGAGCAGCTACACTTCCAGTCTCAACCCTAAACAGTAGCGGTCCATAGATAGTAGCCTTTGAAAGGAGAAAAGTCAGTGGTTACGCCAAGTAATGCAGGCGCGTAAGCATTGATGCAGACAGTTTTCCTCACTAGGTTACCTCAATTAAGGTTATGGACTTGTTCCATCACAATGTCAAACTAATAATTATTTGGACTGACAATGTAGACTGATGTCGGACATGTCGGATGTCAGATGATGCATGTTTATATGCAACAGCTATGAGTGCAACATTAAAAGCCGGCAATATACCTTTATTCGTACTTAACACTTTGCGCGCCACGGACAATTACCGACATTTATGCACGTACGCAGAAATTTTCACATGCACATGTGCATTAATTCGATCGTGCGTTTCACACGTGTGAGCGGCAGTAAACCAATGAAACCGGGGAGAAGAAAGGACAGGCAGCTATTCTGATTGTCCAGTGAAGTATTCGCGCCAGGTAATGTTCACGAGGGAAGCTCACTGTTTCACGTTAATGTGTTCGCACCACTTAAGTGGCGCATAGGGCTGCGCAATGAATATGAGCATGCCATTAAAGTGGTGTGTGGCGCGCATAGTGTTAATGTGAGCAATTGCATACTAAAGTTGCTTTTAGCATAGAAACAAGAGAGAAGGAAGGGATTGGCAACCCGAATGGTCGCGTGACTTTGTATGGTACACTCTATGGGGGCGGCGTGACTTTTGATGACCATCAGTGTTGCCCTGTCACGCCTAACAAAACATTCTACCGACCCCCTCACAGTGAGAACACCCGACGACTGGACCATGGGTAGGTTTGTTGTGGTGTTGATCCCCGAGTGTTATATGGATATAGAGCTGTGTCCGCTATGTACCTTATTGTGACTTGCGTGGGCATATCAAAGGAGCCATGTATACTTTTATTTTAGTCTATTTATCTTTGGCATTCCATTCTGTTCCGTGTCGTTCAGTTTCTTTTCCTTTTTAACACCAGGAGCGGCAGTCCACAAGCGCAGATTATATTTTGTCAGTTGCACGGATTCGATTGAGGATGTCTCTTCGTGCAGCGATAAAGTAGCACCGCAGCGACCAAGGTAAGGCAACTCGGCTTGGCTGCACACAAACATGTGTTCGGTGGAATGCAACAGAAAATCCGTTAGCAAAGCCGCGCGAAGACCTCACACACGGAGCACCAATGTCGAGGAGGAGGGCCCTCATCCCCGATGAGTCCGACGTGGAGGAGCTCACTCCCGACTTTACCTCTGTTACTACGGACCTGCCCTCACGTGGGAGTAAGTGCTTCCCCTACACGGCACCAAATCAATCACTGTCCCATTTTTTACCCCAAGCCTCGACCAACCCGCCCCCGACCGCCGCCGTCAAGAAGGGAAGGAGAGGAAGGAAGAAGGAGAAGGCTGTTGCTACGGACCTGTCCTCCACCAGTACTACCTGGGACAAGGGGAAGAGAAAGAAAGAGAATGCATCTACACCCCCACGTGGGAGTAAGAGCAGCAAATCAATCACTGTCCCATTTTTTACCCCAAGCCTCGACCGACACGCCCCTGACCACTGCCACTGCCGCCAAGAGGGAAGAGAAAGGAAACGGTGACGAGGAGGCTACAGGTTGATGACATCGGCCTGGGGTCCGTACACACCTGGCATGGCACCCCAGATGCGAGAGTGAGGGGAACGGACGTTGTCTGGCGGAGAGCCTCAGAGAACAAGATTGTAGTTGAGGATGTTGTCAGTGAAGAGGAAGGCAGTGATGGAGCTACTACCGAAGTGGAGGGAAAGGTGCTGGCTACGGAGGTAAACCTGGTACAAGCAATTGCCACCT